CCACCATCAGGCGCATTTCCATGTGTGTAAGGACCGATGATAAGAAATTGATCATCACTTCGGGGTGCATAAGAACGTGCTTCTTGAAAACGCCAGATTGTTCCATACATAGTACCATCGAACCAACCGGTGAAAGCAAGTGACGGAATTGTGATACGTGCAAAGTCGTCCGGAACGAAATCGATACTACGCCAGAAATGATCATATGTTGGATGATCAAGAAATGTCCGGTAGAGTAACAACTTTTTTCCTGTTGCATAGAGATCCAATGTTCGAAGTGGTCGATGATTTAGCCACATCATAGGATCGGGATGTGGCTGGTTTATCAGTGATACATTAATATTCAAATCACGACTAATCCAGTTGATTGCCCATCCAACCGCAAATGCACCGTCACGATATGGAGCATCCTCCATTGGACGGCCCATCGTAGCACTCGGTGTAATACATGAGAGATGCGGTGGTTGTTCTCGTGCAATAAACCACTGATTAGTTCCAGTATAAGACGAACCACGCATTCCGATACGACCATTGGACCATGGTTGATTCGCGATCCATTCGATCAAATCATAGCCATCTTGACCTTCACGACTAAAAAATACCATTTCACCATCCGAATCACCTGTACCTCGACAGTCAGCAATAACAAATGCATAACCATACTTACGCCAATATGAGGCTTCATATCGATAATTGACTCGATCAGGTCCACGTCCATAAGGTGTTAGTTCGAGAATCACTGGGAAACGTCCAATGTTTGATACCACAAGATAATCAACTGCAAGTTCGACACCATCGCGCAATCGAACACGTGTTGTTTCGAAAATCACTATATCTTTTTCATTAGTTGTTAATGGTGAGTTTGATGTGCCTGAAAAATTAAAACAAATAAAAAATTTCAAACTAAAACACAATAGGTTCTACCTGAATGCGTTGAGTCGAAACAATCATTGGTTAATTTTTTATCAGCTTTGTGGTTAAGCGCTGCCAAATATCTTGTTGAACCAACCAGTACGCAACATTCGACAACAAAAATTAGAAAAGTGTGTGTCATATTTTGATCTAAGAGAAAACAAAAATGTCATTCAGTCTCAATCAATACAAATGACAAATAGATATATTCTCTCATTTTGACTCTCGTCATTTTATTTTTCTTCAAAGATAATAATCTCTTTCTTTTTTTCTTTCTCGTTATTCATATCTGCTTGATAGAAGAATTATGCAAATAATCAATAAGGCTTACCTGGACGAATTGCATTTTCTCCCATTGAAAGTAGTAAAGTTCGGTTAACGAAAGAATTAATTTCATAAGATGACATCTAGTAAATATATTCAAATATTGACAACTTTTTTCGATATTCCTTATAAAGAGACTTATTCAATCTTTCGCATATTTATGTTGAAAAAGGACAGATTATACAACATATTGAAATAAACTTTTCTATTGCACTATTTAATGTAAATGTTTCCATCAAAAATTCACCTCAACGAAACTCAATACTATGTGCTACACTTTCTCGTATATCGTGGTGAGTCGATGTCAATTCAACAATTTCTCAAATCTAATTGTATATACTTTTATCAGTTTTCACATTGTTTATGTATAATATTCTAGTTGAGTTCTAATCATTTTTTGAATCATAAGTTCTGAACATCGAAAAACGATTAGTTTATGTACAGATAAAAAATGAATTTTAACTGAATGTATCTATATGAAATTCGATTACTCGAAACAATATAATATTAGATGACATTTTCTTTTGTAAGAATAAAAATA